GGTCTAATTGGCTCTATGACCAACCGATTTTTCATTTATAGGAAGAAAAATCGAGAGATTTTTTCCAAATCTATGGCCTGCATTACTCAAAAGTGCAGCAGACGCATTCAACAGCAATTTTTGAAGTGGCGTTCCAGTCCTCCAGCTTGTAGTAGACAACTTCTTCCACTCCTCCACTCATCTGATTTGTGCTCAAAAGGCTTTGAAAGATAAACAAGACTGTAGTATTTTACTTATACCACATTTACACACACCTGTGGGTTGAATGGGATACTGTGATAAGGTGCATATCCAAAAACATCCTCCACCACACGTAAACAATGCCCATTCAATGCTAATTTAAGGGCATATGTCTATGACTGATTACTTGTTAAGGGAATACTGTATCTTTGATATCACAGAATTAAACTATATCTACAATTATTTAAACCATCAACTCCCACGCTAAGTGACTCAAAATTATAATACCCTCAATATACAGCTCTCCTAAAATTAAAAAATATAGGTCATAAATAAAAAGGTACCGGTAAGTAAAGTACACTATCCACAACACCATATAAATGTCCATTAAAGTGCACCGGTATAAGTGTCCATTACAGTGCAACATTCAAATGTCCTTGTCAATATATGATATTTTCTTCAGTGCATAAAGTGCTCTGTACAAAGTGTGCAAAAACAACAATATAACTTGCATCATAGTAATTCTTGAAAAATAGTGAGTCTTCAGTACTTCACTCCACCATTGTGTACCACCAATACACTGAAGAACTCACCAGACAACCCTGACCCCCCGCAATAGAGTAGGTCTGTATGCACTTTTTCCCTTGAGGGATTAAAACCCAGGACGGCACCACTCCTTTCTCACAGTATCATCAGGTTTGCCATAAAATCAGAAGGGAGAAAAACTCCAACAGTGTAAAACCTTTTTATTTAAGCAACTTAATAACACATCAGTGATAAAACCACTAGCTAATACGCTCACATTTATCAGTGCATTCCACCATGCACCCGGGTTTCACAGTTCTATAGTATTACAAGCTGGCTCCACTCTAACTAGTGCAAAGCTCGGTTCTTCTCACCAATCATCATGGTATCTCACCACTTCCAGGTGTCTCCAGCAGAATGAGGTCACTTCCAGTAGCTCCACCCTGATGTTTCCTTGCAATGACGTTTTAGGACATATCTTTTTTTTTTTTTCATTTTAGGAGCGTTGCATATTGAGAGTATTATATCTACAATTACACTACTTTTACAGATCATGTCACCTCTCAACTATTGGCAAAACTATTCTACTCAGGCCTTTTTGAGCAAAGTTCCCACACATACCTACAGGGTAGTAAAACAGCATATAATAGTAATAGAATGTACCAGAATAGGGAAATTGGAAAAAATTGGTAATATATAGAATCTGCTAGTACTATATCTTTTAAATCTACCATCAACTTTAGAGTGTGATGGACTACCTCAATGGATAGAGATATACTCCTCGGGTAGGATATTGCACAACATATTTGTGGGGAAATCTAAAGAAAATCATACAGATTGAAAACTACAAATAGTTAAAGTGGTCGTAAGCCTCAGACATGAAATATGAGGGCTGGCGCGCGGAAGACGTGGCCGCTTGATTGCAGAGCTCTACATGTGGGAAGCATGTCGGGGCACATTACAGCGATCTGAAGCTTCATAAAGTGGTGGTTTTCTGCTGTAGAGCACCGGGCAACATTAACAAGCATGTCCAGAAAGAGAAAAGAACGTGGACAACCAGGCCGGCTGACAGATTTTTTTTTACACAGCAGCTCCATCCTCACAGCCAAGATGGCAGTGGCAGTCCTTCATTTCTGCAGCACAGACATGTTCCAGGGAAAGAGGAGAAGGGACACAGTGCTAGAGGCTCATACACTAAGCAGCCACAGCATAGCAGCCCCACTTCCCAGGCTTCATCCAATACCACAAGCCCAGCCAAAGCAAGACAAAGGCTGTCTCCTGCATCTGCTCCAATAGACGTGAGTGCCTCAGACCTTTCATTGGAAGACACAAGGAATTAGCAGAATCCATACTTTCTTTTCCTACCACCAATCAGCCAGTCTTAGACACCACCTTAAGTTACATGCTGGTATCACTGAGAAGCACTATCCACATTGATATTTTAACCTTGGTTCAACAATTCAAATCTGATATTAATGAGGTTAATGATAGAGTGCTACATATTGAAAACAAAATGGGGGAATTTGCAGACACCTTTAATGAGTGGGTAGATGTGCATAATGAACGGGAAGATGACATCACCTGCATCAAAACCAAGCTAGTAGATTTGAAAGACCATTCCAGAAGGAACAATATAAAAATCAGAGGCATCCCAGACATGAAATATGTGCAAAACATATCCCTCTATAGTGTGTACTTGTCTCGATCCAGAACACTAAGTGTAATTTCTTTCTGCTGCCTCATTCATCATAGGCATTAGTCACTTCTAATGAGTTTTCCTGATGTCAAGAGAAAAATGGTGACAGGGGAGGGACCTCCAGCAGATTGACAGCTTCAGCTCTGTTCCTGTGTGCTGTGTGAAGGGGATGTTTCCCCTCCCTCCCATCAGCTCTCAGAACTCTCCTCACTGATGTAACTTCAGCTCCCTACCCCCTGCTTTTCAAAGCTGAGAGATCCTGTGTATATTCTGCACTTTGAATGGATGTAGGAGACAGGTGGCTGTAGATAAAGAAGTACAACTTATGTAGAAGGATTTGTTTTATCTCTGTGTATCACCTGAAACCAGTCACTTCACTTGGTATATGTAAGGGCTTACAATTACTTTAAAGCCAATTTTTCCCCATTTTGTATGTGCCCCCATTGGGAATCGTTCTCCTCACTTCCCAATCAGATGACAGAAGGTACAGTCACACGGACAGGAACAATGAAAAATATATCCAGAAAAGTCAGGAAGGATACAAATTACTTTTTATAGTAGAGTGGTGGAATGTGAGGTTTATATTATAGTCTGTGCACTCCTATTACAGTAACCCCCATTCTCTTGTTTTTTTAATTCAGGCCTTACAAGAAGCAAAAGTAAAGGGCATTACCCCCAATCAAGTTACAGATAGTAATGCCAACTTAGCCGAAGTTTTAAAGTCCAATTACAACAACCAGCCCCCCCCCCCCCCCTTGAAGGCTGCAGCAGTGGGCTTGTTCCAGAATGCTACAGAAAACTAATGAGTTGTGATGTTGTTCTCAACAGCATTCTACTGTGAGTCCATAGTGGCTTGATGATGTACCTCCAAGGAATGGGTTCATGATGTCCTGGGCTCACAGAAAGTGGGTTCTCCTTCATTCCTCCTACCACTCCATCCCCACAGCCACTTCCTCCTGTACTACTACCCCCTCCCTCCTAGATTGTAAGCTCGAAAGAGTAGGGCCCTCGAACCACTCGTGTGCTGTTTGTTGTTGCTGTACTGTTTCATGTATTGTCCCCCCCCTGTATTGTACAGCTTTGAGCAAACCCTTTGGCGCTATATAAACTCGATGTAATGTAATGTAATGAATGACCTAGGCATCCTTCATACCCAAAAGCTTGACTTTAGGTTTAAGGGCCGGTTCACACTATAGAAATGCAGCCTGGATGCATTTCCGTATGCACATCTTTGACATGTTTTTGACGCTTTTCAGTGCGTTTTTGATGCATTCCAGTATGCCCCCCCCCCTCTCTTTTTCTTTAATTTAAATAGGAACATGTGCATTCCAGTACGTTTTTGATGTGTTTTACCGCGTTCCAGTACAGTTCTGTGCAGAAAAAAATGCAACATGTTCTACTTTTTTTTCTGCAACAGAAATGCGCTGGGACTGCAAGCTCTGATGTGAACTATGACATTGACAACCATATTTATTTATTTATTTATTATAACCTTCTTTCTGTGCTTTTTGGATGCAGAAAGAAAGCAACTGAAAAGCATGTAGTGTGAACTGGCCCTAAGGCCTTCTTCACACTTGAGCATCACACCTGGGTGTTATATAAGGTGGTCTGCTTGCAAATGTAGTATGCCTAGAAATGTCAACTACTTCAGACAAAGGCCTACCCATCAATGCATTTATATGTTTGCACAATTCCTCCAAAAAATCAGCCCACTGTGTGCATCAAGGATGAACTCTCTTAAAGAGATTTTCCAGCTCCTGAGACAAAAATCAATCACTGTGGCAGGTTAACTGAGTATACTTACATATGTAGCCCAAAACAATAAAAATAGTGCCTATTGAATGCCCCCAAAAGCTGTGGCACCATGTGAATAGACTGGTGCAAGACAGAAAGGATCGACTTGTCAGGCTCTAGTAGACCTCAATGAAATGGTGGCCATCTGCACACAGACACCAACTCCCTGTTACATAATGTGATTGAGATGAGTAAAACATGGCTTCAGCTCCTGTTCTCCTCCCATAGAGAAAGCCCCATTTGAGCCTACCATCCAGCACTGCAAGCTTTTATTACTGCTCTCCTGTCAGTAGTCATGCTGAATCCTAAGCTAAACACACCAAAATATCACAAACTGTAAGGTGCCGGACCATTAACTTTTATTTGGAATTTAAAAACAGCATATTCCACTAAAAGAACCAAAATTATAAACAGCTTTTTCAATTTTTATATTGTAATTATAAATACTTTATTTTATGTTGTTGGATTTAGTCATTTCTACTATCTTCATCATCTAACATCTACAGTATAATCATCATCAATCATTTATTATCAATTCACAGTTTAGTCTTTATTCTATCGTTGGGCTAGAATGATTCTTGTTATTTTGTTTTTCATAAATACATTTCTGTGTTTCCTGTCAGAAACATAGATGTATAATTTAACATTTACTTTCATATTAAGCTTTCTTCTGTACCATTCTCAAAATTGTTGCTATTTACAACAAAAATTTGAAAAAACAGTAAAATATATTTTTTCTGAGTTTTCATGGGGTTGCGTGGTTTCCAATTACACCTTTGAATGCTGTATTCATTGTCCTTTCTTGTCAGGTGCGAGGTTCAGCACAAATGTCATGGATCTTTGGAGGAGTTGTGAATCCAAGTGCAGGGGTGAGGTCAAGCTTTGCTCCATGAGGAGCTTTAAAGGTAAAGTTTTGCAGCAGTGTGGTAAAGAATATGAATAGCTCCATTTTAGCCAAGGTCTCCCCAGCACAACTTCTCTTACCTAGAAAACACAAATGCACATTTACAATGTAAAAACGTGTTGTTCTGCTATATGTTGGAGAAAAAAAAGGGTCAGATATGTTAATGATGCATGAAAACGTTTGAGATTACATGTTTAATAAATGGGTTTGTTGCAACGGTAGGGCTGATGGGATAATGGTCACATCCTCCATATGTCCCAATTAACTCATTGGGCACAAAGTTTGGAAAACATGAGAGGCCTACCTCGGGGTGGGTGCTTCTGGGCTACACTAGGCACCTGAGAAAGGATCACTCTACTTCACAAACATGGGGTACCTTTACTTTGTGCCATTTTCACCAATGCCCTGGGACAAAGCTGAGGTTGCCGTCAGGAAATACTGAACCTTAAGGCAAGCCTCTTCTCTTAGAGATGAATATACACCATGTACACTTGCTCAACAACTGTTCTTCAGTTACTCTCAGGTTCCCATGTAAATTTACATCTTTCAACTGTAGCTTGCAATTAGGCGGGCCGTACAAAATATTGACCACAGCCACCAGCCCAACATTTCTCACTACCTACCCCAGTAGCAGCATGGAACCCCTCAGTGATAGCGCGGGCTCCAATGTGCACTTAACTTTAACTATTTAACCTCCATACCTCTGTACAGGATGGGGACCTCTGCAGTGCAGTTTTGTTATGGTTGCTATGGGAGATGGAATGAGGCATCGGGAGTGCCGACAACATCTCCCTCACGGCTAGAGGCATATCCACCTACAACAGATACACATTTCCAACAGGCTGATTGCTGACTGTACTTTCTGGTACACACAGCAACCACATGTATAAATTGCACTAGAATGATTCTTGACGTGCTGACTCTTCATACCCCATGTGCTAGTGACCCAAACTGTAGACTAAGTGCAAAGTTTTACAGGTTACTTGCATTACATCGCTTTGCGTAACTTCAGATCAGGCAAAAGGCAAAGTTTCAATGTTTTACTGAATAAAATGTAGACAATACAGAGCATGACACAGTCTTTTCCCTAATCCTTAATCCTAATCAGGCTATGTGCTGTCCAGGCATACCTGCACAGATGGAGTCCATGTAATTACAGAGTCAGAGGCATTCTCCAGCAGTTGGTGTCTTTGGGATGAACCCCAAGTTCTGACAACTTTACATCCAGGAAGTAGAGAGAGACATTCTTGTATTCACCCCGGGTATAGCTCTCTGGTCCTCTCCCATATGGGGTTCTTTTATATGGACCCCTAGCTTTCAGACCTCCTTGGGGAATCAATCTTCTGAGCCACTGTCCTTATTTTATATTACAGACTCAGAGGGTAGGACTAAGAGATAACCGGCCAAAAGCTAAAGAACCAGGTTAAAACATTAACCCCTAACCATCTCATCCAGGGCAGCACTTATTTAACTAATTTCAACCTGCTTACAGGTTCATGCAAAGCAAAGCGTGTAGACTCAATAACAAATGCACATCAGGACGAGAATGGGAAATGCAGAAGAATCCTAACCAAGAAAAGAAAAAGAAAAAACAAATAATGGTGTCCACACATCAAATTATCACTTTCACTTTTGTTTAGTGGCAATTCTTATACAATGTTTTTGGGGACACTTTGTCAGTTGTCTTCATCAGAAGTAGATATTTAAAAAATGGGTGTAAACAGCATCTGTGGGCCTTGAAGATTGGGAATGGGATTTAGTTACAGTGAATGACTGCGTAAACATTTTGAAACTTTTACGTCTTTTATAGGATAATTAAGATATCAAAGAGGAGATCCATTGAATCTACAGGCAATTTAGAACTCTTGTGTAAAAAGAAAAAAAAAAGAGCATGTTTTGTTAACTAATATTTCATACTTGGATTGAATTACCTGCTGAAAATGGCATAAATGCTTCCTTTTTCAAGAAATTCCCCTTTGAATCAAGAAAATGTTGCGGGTAGAACTCGTCCGGTTTCTCAAAGTGACTCTCATCTCGCAATACAGAGGCAAGTAATGGGATCACATACGTCCCCTGTACAATAAGGAATTCAGATCAATTTCGGACAAATTGTATACATACCACAGACATAAGAAACAAACATTGGAAGGCAAGGTACATGTTGCACAACTTTCTGTTTAAAACAAGCAGATCACCTTCTGTGTATTGACTGTTCTGTGTTTTGAAGGTTAACCACATGCTGCCCAGCCATTGTAGAAATATGTTGGCAGGGCGGCACGGCTGGGCAAAACCATGTTTTAAAACGTGTGTTTGCAAAACAGGTAGGGGGCGCGCACAAGGCGTGCCACCGGCCTACCTGTCCCGCCGATCACGGCCGCGGATGTCAGTCGCTGGGTCACAGCCGGTCGTTACTGGCTGTGTCCCGCCGATTAGCGGCAATCACTGACAGAGAGCAGGGCTGCAGTAGCTCTGCTTTCTCTCAGTCCCCTGTCAGCTCCTGACATGCTGAGCCGGAGAGAAGAGTTTATCTCTCCCGATCAGCTGTCCCCCCCCCCCTGCAGTACACACCCCCCCCCCTCCCCCTAGTAAAACACTCCCCTCACACAGTTAACCCTTTCAGTAAATAAAAAAGTTAACCCCTTCCTCCCCAGTGCCATTAGTACAGTGTCAGTGGGTTTTTTTTGCACTGATCACTGTATTGGTGTCACTGGGGATGTCAGTGACCCCAAGTCAGTTCCCCCCAGTGTCAGAATGTCCACCGCAGTCCCGCAGTCCCGCCATAAGTCACTGATTGCTGTCATAAATCACTGATCACCACCATAAGTCGCTGATCGCCGCCATTATTAGTATAAAAAAAATTAAAAATCCCAGTATCTTTACCACCATTTGTAAACGCTATAACTTTCACGTAAACCAATTAATTTACACGTATTGGGGTTTTTTTTTTAGCAAAGACATGTCGCAGAATACATTTTGGCCGAAATTTATGACGAAATTTGATTTTTACATTTTTTTTACTGGACATGTTTTATTGCAAAAAGTCCAAAATATTGTTTTTTTTTTCTCAAACAGTATATTTTTGCAAGAAAAAAAATGTGCATGTATTATTATTTTCAGTGGAACCTGCGGAGCATTTGCACACACTGCCTACAGCTCTCCAATAACTCTGTATGGGGAAACAGTTCCTGAGCTATAGGCAGTTTGAATGAAATATGAGCATGCTGATAAGTGCACTTGTGGTTCATTAATACTACAAGTCCATCTGCCGCAGTGGTGGACAGGATTTGAAGTTTATTCATTTGCAGATTCCTACCATTGAAGGGCACGACTGTGCAGGCAGAGCCCCACCATTTTCAAAATGTGACAGCTGGTGCAGGGAGAGGATCCTCCACCCGTTATCACAGAAAGTGGAGCTCTGGTGGTGGAAGGCGAGTATATAGAAGCATGTTACACCCTAATTATAGGTGTAGCATGTAACATTTTCCTAAATGTGAACTTATCCTACTAAAGTGGATCTAACATTGAAGTAAACCGAAACCGCTAACCTTTTTTTTTTCATTTTTGATAGAATAGTGAATGCAGAAATCCCCATGTCAAGTTTTTTTTTTTTTTTATTTGTGAATTGTTGGGGCGATTAACGTTAACATTCCCTTTCTGTCCCATAGACACAACAAAAAGTAGGAGAAAACAAGTTAAATTATCACCAGAACAAATACCCCTTTTGGAAGATTTCTCCACTATTCCTGTTCCAAAAGCAACTCAAGATTTTGTGCTTTCCCTCGCTTTTAGTATTCCTCTGAAAGGACAACCTGAGATCTCTGTCTTTTGCAGAATGAACTCGTGTAAGCAAAACTTCTACTTCTAGACTTGCTATTTCCTTCCTCCTCTCCAAGAGATCTCACTGGCCTGCATTGTGGACAGTATGAGTTTGCTGCATTGGAAGGAACTCCTATCCACTCAGGCATCTCCTCTTTCCATGTCCTGTCTCTGCATTCCACTCCTAACACCTGCTGTGGCTCACCGCAGTAGGGATATGAATCTGCTGCAATGGTGGAGGTGGTGGATCCCATGGGACCTCTTTTGGGCAACCTATGCTGGTAAATCCTACTTTAGGCACACAGACTACAATAGGGCCACCCCCTATAGACCCAGGCATCAGCCTTAGGGTCTTTCTCTAGGCACACTTGTTGGGGCACTCTCACCAGCAGAATCTTTCCCCGAAATGGAGGCCTTTCTCTAAGAAAAAAGTGCTACTAAAGGACCCTACCAAAGTCTGGCAGATGATGTAACGCAGATTGTCCATGGACACAGTATTCTATAAGAAGCTTTTCACAAATACCAAACCATGCCAAGTTGTTAGTGAGCATGTCCCTATGTTGGTATTAACACTGGTATTTAACTATGCAAGTATCACACCTTTTAAAGTGTATTTCCACTTTTGCAGCCAAATTGGAATCACATTTACTTTATATTTGATTCATGCTTTATTCACATAATATAAGGAGGAGATTAAGGGAGGATATGATCAACATGTATAAATACATCAGTGGTTCATATAGTGAACTCGGTGTAGTGCTATTCATCCTGAGGTCATCACAGAGGACAAGGGGGCACTCTTTACGTCTGGAGGAAAAGAAATTTCATCTCCAAACATGGAAAGGTTTCTTCACAGTGAGAGCTGTGAAAATGTGCAATAGACTCCCTCAAGAGTTGGTTCTGGACAGCTCAGTGGATTGTTTTAAAAAAGGCCTGGATTGTTTCTTGGATACACACAATATAACTTAATGCAGGAGGAAATTGGATCATGCTTTGCTGGGGTTTTTTTTGCCTTCCTCTGGATCAAATGCGGGTAAAAGATTATAACTTTTTTTTTAATGGTTGAACTGGATGGACTTTTGTCTTTTTTCAGCCAGACTAACTATGTAACTAAAAAATGTTCTTCAGCCACTTGTGTAAATTAAAAGTCAGCAGTTACAGAAACTGACTTTTAAAACATCCGACTTTTATGAAACAGAAACTCACCTGTACAAGGATCCAGTGCTGTCCTTACCTGATCTGGCTTCTTCACTGGTCTTGGGTCCCCGGAGCTGGCATCTTAAAGGATAAGTTCACCTCTTCGGAAAGAATTTCCCTTTTCATGATAAATAGAAGCGTTTTCCAATGCCATTTCTGGCTCAGCCATCCCAATGTGCTTTTCTCTCACTTACCTCATCCACAGGACCTTTCATTTTTGTCAGTTTATGTAAGATTTTGAGAGGATTTTAAGATTGCATAATTTCCTGTCGATGGTCTCTTAGCATTCACTTCCTGTAGACCACTTCCCAGAAGCCTTCACTTCTTTGTTGCATCACAGAAGAGGGTGTGATAGGGTGTGTACACCACTCTGAACCACACCTCCCTCATTACAATACTACCTTCCTCCCATCAGCTATGTAGTACAAGGGCCTGTCTGATTTGATACTAATGGAATAGATTGTTCAGGTGTGTTCTATTTCATAGTTTTGGTAAATCTAAAGGAAATTGTACAGAGAATGTACAATCAGATTGTATAGACCACCTTTATACAAGTACATAGGAGGGAGTGGATGGAGGCACCCAGTTGTCAGGCCCTGTTCACATCTCCATGTAGTGAAAACTCACATTCCTGTGTGCGTTTGTTTTGGGTGTTTTGGAGAGCTTTCACCCATTCAGTTGAATGGCCTGCCATACACACAGCAATCACCACAAGAAAGCTCTCAAACTTTTTTTTGGAGAGGAGCATGGTACATTACCGCAGTTTTTGGTGTGTTTGCCGCACTTGGGGTGCCTTTAACATGTAATGACAACACAAATATGATTTACATTTGGAGCGTTTTTCAGAAATGCATGGCAAAACGTGCATTTTCTGTGCAGATTGCCATGCATTTGGAAACACACAGATGTGAATGGAGCCTCATTGTTCTGTGTAAATGCACCAATTTCACTTTCAGGCCCCATTCATCTTTTTTTACTCTTTTTTTCCAGTGACACACATAGGGCAGCCAGTTGATTTCAATGGGCTGCGCTACATGTGGCAAAGTAGCTCATGGGACATTTTGGCATGATGCTTGTTGCAAATCTTTTACTGCATTTGTCACCCGGGGCAAAACATATGCCTGTTTTTGTGTTTGGTGTACCATTAATAATTAGTTACACTGAAAGTGCAACTAGGTGTATAAACATGGCCTTACACTATACAATCTGATTGTACAATCTCTTTTAGATTTACCAAAACTATATAATAGTAGGGCCAGGGGTGGACTGACAACTCATGGGGCCCCCGGGCAATAGGGGATCATGGGGCCCCATGAGTTGCCCACACTCAAAAAAAGCCTATAAAAAGGTACCAGGGGCATTTCATGGGGCCCCCTACTGACCCCAGGCCCTCGGACAGCGCCCGAGTTCTCGAATGGTCAGTCCGCCCCTGAGGAGGACACAGCATCTATCCAATCACTTGGCCTGAGCCTGGCTGTAGAGACGCTGGGGTTGCCAAGCAAATGCACATGGGGAGAGATCCTGGGGATGCTGTGAAAAATAGTTGATGGGTGAAGGATGTGTACTATTGAGGTCAGTGCAGGATGTGTGTGCTAATGAGATCAGCTGGTAATCTGCTTCCAGGGTCCTAATGGTTCCTCTGTCCTCTGTCTACATTCTAAGAATTGAAAAAGCTTTCTAAGAAATTTACCAAAGGCTAAGGTAAGGCCTTACTCTCCAGATCAAAGAGAGCTTGTATTTTTTTGCAACTGAGGTACATTAATGGTATATTGCTGTATAGGGGAGCTGGATTTTGTTTAAAAAAAAAAGTGAACTTAGCCTTTAACTGTGGGTATGTGGATATGACTGCTTGTGGCTTCACAGCTGGTTGCCCACTGTGCATGCCATGCTGAACTTTGTGAATGACCCTGCAGGTTTCTGAGACCTGTGATGTGTTTGAGGGCAGAAAGGGAGGAACCCAGGCGATCAGAGCGAAGTGGTAGGGGGTACCTGTCAAAATCAGGTACAAGATCCTCCCCCCAAAAAATGATGTGCCAAATATGATGTGGGGGGGGGGGGGGGAGTAAGAACAGCAGAACTTCCCCTTTTGTGTGAGATTCCGCATTAAATGTATTAAAAAAGTACTGTTTACCATTTTAGATGTTCTTTTCTAATAACTTCTGCACTGAAAATTCCTACTTTGTTATGTTAGTTTGTGAGGGGGTTGGGGAGCTTTGTTTGCCATAATTAACTCTGTCTGTACTGTGCTGGAAGGTCTCATTATCAGCTGTAAACTAGATTTGAACACTGTCTGTTCTAACAAAGGGTTACAGATTTTAAATGCTTGCCTTCTGCATTGTATGGTAATAAAATGAAATGCAGTTTATAATTAATATTTCTTTTGGCATATTCTGTGAGATTGTATAGTGGGGTTTTCTCAAATTTGACTGCAAAAGCGGAAATACATTTTAAAGCAGGAAGACAATAGAGAACACTGATCATGCTGCTTACTTTTGGCAAAAAGTAGCCTTTAAAAGTAACATCCTGTGTAGTGGCATGAGGAAGATTAGTCGGTATTATGTTGCCAAACCGCTGAATCTCATGTATAACGGCATCTGTATATGGCATCTCTTTCCGGTGCATAATCTGAGGGACAGCAGATCCGATCACCTTATCTATTTCATCCTGGACATTCTCTACAGTCAGCAATGGAAATTAAACAAAAATGTTTAGTTACAGGAGAAATGTAGCCCAAAAAAAAAAATTACTGGTAATGTTATATGGTATATTTTAGATCATGTTGGTATATAATATCAGGACAAGTTTACATATTTTCAAGATAATGTAAAGAAAATAATAACAATGGAAGATAATGTACCTTTGAATAGAACTACACGGTGTAAAATAACTAATCTGATTACCTCTTTTCTAGCCACGAGCACAAAACATTGATGGCATACATAAGAACTTATTTTCCTCGAATGAAAACGCTTCTTGAGTTCCACTTCCGTATGTTCAGAGTTTCACCCTTTCTGATTTGGGCTGCAAACATCTAAGCCAATGCACAGTGCACTGACACATTCTGCCATAGTCACACAGCAGTAAAATTGTGATTTTTGATCACTGCTGGTACACATATCCACAGGAACTTCCCACAAAAAGTATTCAGGATGTGTACAGTGCAGAGCGGGAAAATTAACAGAATAAGGTGAAAACTGCAATCCTATTTTTACTTACTCTGCTCTTCAAAGCTAAGTATTAATGAAAAAGCCTGTATACTTTTAAGTATGTTAGTCTCATATTCTAATATTTTTTTAAACATGGCTTCTAAAGTTGCCTGTGACATCACAGGCTGGTATTAATTCTTCAAATAATAAAAAAGACAATATGGGTTCCTCTTAAAATCCCACTTAGGGGGATGGTATTGACATAGCCCAAAATGAACCATAATGACTCAAAGTTGATATGGTCCAGAAAATGTTTAGACAGAATAAAGGTGAATAAAGCACCTGGACCAAATGGTATACATCCACGACTCCTAAAAGAGTTGAGCTCTGGTATATCAAAGCCATTGTTTTTAACTTTTAGGGACTCTTTAAAGACTGGCATAGTACAACTGGATTGGTGTAAGGCCAATGGGGTGCCTATATTTAGAAAGGGATCAAAGTCTTTAACAAGTAATTACAACCCAGTTAATTAACTTCTATAGTTGGGAAGATAGTAAAGACTTTAATAAAAAGGGGCTATGTTTTAGAATGCTATTTATGAGGCCTGCTGCAATTGGTAGTTGTAAAAGGTATTCCAAATATATTTCAGACTTGATAAGCACACATGAACAATTTGGGCTGGGTCTAGAGTTGGGATGAGATTCAGTTTGGAGGTTGGATGTGGGTTTGAGGCAAACCCAAGTTGTTTGAAGTTCCTGAAAATTCATGGAGAAGTTTGTCCACATACCTTGGGGCTAAAATGGCTACTTAAAATGTTCTGCTGCTGACCAGTTTTCCACTGATGCATTATCTATGGTCTCTTAATTCTTAATGAGAGTTTGATAGACACTCCCTGAACACCTCCAATGATGTATGTAAATAGTGTAAAAATAAAACATTGTAAGGTGTAATCCCAGATTCAGATAATGTTTTCAAATCTACGAGACAACTGATAATTATTTAATTCTTTTAAAATACTGTACAGCAAACACATATTAATTACACAGGTTTTGTAGAGGATTAAGGTGGTAATTAAATTCACTTAGTGCCTTATCTGCATTAAATTAGTATCAGAACCTGCGTAAATAATATGTGTTTGGCTTTAAAGGATCAGGTGGCAACCCTACACAGGGTCTATTATACACAAATCCTTTACCTAGCATGCTTAAAGTGTTACTAAACCCTGCATTCAGTATATCTGGTCTCCCACAGTACACACAGCATGGAAATACAATTATTTTAGTAAATATAAACTGCTAAATACCTTTTCTCATCAGCAGTTAGAGCAGTCTTGTGACTTCTAACAGTGTTCAGCAGAGTGCTGGTTAAAGCTTGTAGGAGGAGTTTTCTTTCTGCTCTAGGAGGATGCAAAACCCCTAACCTGTGTCTAGACAGTGCTGGTTGGCCCTATACTGATCACGTGCACTCTCCCAAGAAAAAAAAAACCTCTCTAGCAATACGCACTAAACTGAGCATGTGCAGAATGGCTACGGTTTAGTCTGTCTTATCAGAAGATAATATGTGGACATTTGAACAAGAGGAGGAGCAGAGAAGTCAGGATCAAACTGCCTTTTTACACAATATTGATGATTAACCCCTTAGGTTCCACAGTGAGTTTAACAAGCATGCTTTACTGCATATACAGACTAATTTTACTGTTGTGGGTTTAGTAACACTTTAAGGGGTGACTGAAATATACTTGAAATAAAACAAAATACATAAAAAATTTGCACAACTCACATTACTTCACACCTTCAGAGTGATGTGTGCCCTGAGCTCCTCTGATGACCCATCCCTGCTTTCCCACTGCCAAAAATGTTCAGTGCGGTGTAAAATAACTGCAGGGCTCTCCCAGGCACTCACCAACTATGCTCACCCTTTTCACCCAGCTCTTTTGTTCTAGCCATTACTATGAATGAAAAATGAAAGGTCCACGCCTCCATTTGTAGATTACATTTCATTCATAGAAGCTGTAGTACTGGCTTCTATGAATGGATAAACTGAATGGAAAGGGCAGGCATTGTCAGGTCCTCTTGATGAGTGCCTATGACAGTTCACTTAGTTCTATTAACCCCTGCTGCACTAGAAGATTGTAGCAGGTGAGGTGGGAGGCAATGGATGAGAAAGATTTCTGCAAAACGAGAACACAGCAGCACAAGGGTCACATCTGTAAATAACGTCCCTTGTGCTTTTATATATATATATATATTTATTTTAAACTTGGACTTTAAAGTTGTCGGTGGTACAGCTTAATTCTTCAAATAAGAAAAAAGACAATATAGGATCCTCTTAAAATTCCACCTAGGGGGATGGTATTGACATAGCCCAAAATGAACCACAATGGCTCAAAATTGATATGGTCCAGAAAATGTTTAGACAGAATAAAGTTGAATAAAGTACCTGGACCAAATGATATACATCCAAGATTCCTAAAAGAGAGTTTAGCTCTGGTATTTCAAATCCATTGTTTCTAAATTTTAGGGACTCTTTAAAGATTAGTATAGTACAACTGGATTGGCATAAGGCCAATGGGGTGCGTATATTTAAAAAGGGAACAAAGTCTTTAACAAGTAACTATAACCCAGTTAGTTTAACTTCTATAATTGGGAAGATAGTAAAGACTTTCATAACAAGATCACATAGATGAGTTTTTCAGAGAATGGATTCATGACAAACAACATTGTTAAATAAATGTGTCTAAGCTTTTGCTTACCTCCTCATGAAAATAAATCAAAGGAGTGGATGTAGATATTGTATATCAGGATTTTGCAAAAGCGTTTGACAGTTTCCCACACACGGCTAATGTGTAAGCTAAATTTTACAAGCTCCAGGCTTGGAAAATTCTGTTTGTGAAAGGATAGAAAACTGACTAAAAGACCATATTCCGAGAGTAGTGGTTAATGATTCATACTCTGAATTGTTTAAGGTTATTAGTGGGGTACCCCAAAGATCAGTGTTGGGACCCTTTAATTTATTTATAAATGATAAAGCACCATTTCAGTATTTGTAGATGACACCAAGCTATGTAGTAGAATAGCTGTGTATTACAGAAAGTTCCAACAAGGTACAACTAGGCCCAGCAGGTATGTAGGCAGGTGCAGGCTATTTTCTCCAATGTAGGTGGTGCTTGTCTGAAGCTGTACTGCAGCTGAAGGGGAAGTTTAGGGAAGCTTGGTTTCTCTATGGTTCCCTAAGTTCCCCAGAGCAGTATACCAGTTGGCTATGCTACATCCAGGTGACCCTTAGGTCACTCAAAGTCTTTTTAAATCCCTGCCCACAGGTATTGGCATGCATTAGCAAAGTAAGGAGTGTAGAGAGAGCATACTCATCTGTCAGGGGCAGCACTAGTGGTAGAGACAGGTTCCGGTGGAGTAGAGATAGCTCAGGGACTATGTCTGCACTTCAGTAAGCCCCCTTTTGGGTTGGACTGGCCAGGTCACATTCCATCCTCTTGGTAGGCACTGTCTTCAGTTTGGGCCTGCTACCACTGACTCTCTGCTACATTGACTGTAAGCTTCTGTTTGGGTGAGCTCTCCTACTGGGTTGTTTGTACTGTTTGCAATTTTTTCAGTGCATCAGTTACTGCACTCCAGGCCTCTGTGTGTTTTCTGCCGCTGCACCACACTGTACCTACCCAACAGGTAGACATAGCCATCTGCAGCCACTTACGGAAACTGTAGCAGTGATCAGTTAACTTCGGATGACGCCAACAGCTTCTGCAACAAGGAGCGGGAATGCAGTCTGGCCAGTCCATACCCAATTAGGAGGCTTTCTAAGCAGAGAATGTTGTAGTCCCTGAACTGTCCCTACTCCTCCGGAACCTCTCCCTAACTTTAAACACTCTCCCTGGCAGACGGGACCTGTCCCTACACTAACCACTTGCAAAATACTTGCCAAATCAGGAGTCAGTGTCTTAAATAGGCACTGCCTTCAGCCAAGATGGCCATAGAGGTCAGTCAGTGACCCAGCATCCAATCAGACAGCTGCCCCCCGATCGTGGCAAAAAGCCAAAGAGGAGCTAAGTTCCTCACACCTTCCTCCCCTTTCTGCATTGTTGCTAAAACCTAGTGTCACCTACAGAAGGGAGCACAGATTGCACCTGCCTACACAGGGATCATCTGACTGCATCCTGGGGGATAAGGAAGGATTTTTCCTCTGCTGAAGGAAATTGTGTCATTCTTTATTGTTTTTTTTCTTTCCTCTGATAAAACGTGGCTATAGGATTGTGAATAGGCTTTCTACTTGAACATCTGTTTCTTTTCGCTATTGGTAGATCTAGTTGGACTTGTGTCTTTTTTTTCAATCCAACTAACTAAGGCCTCTTTCTCACAATTGGTCCCCCAAAAAGGATATGGGAGATTAGAATGGACTTATAGTAAAAAAAAAGCCCCCTGTGCAATAAGGGGTCCCTAGATATCCACCCCCTCTCAGTGGAATGAGTATAGAGGTAAATCAAAATACCCCTTTCCACAAAGAGCTAAATGTAGGTAAACAAAACAGGCACTTTAGAAAAAGCCCTTTAATAACAATAAAATTGTTCACAATATTACTAATGCCCTCCAATACATCATCAATCACAACTTCCAAAGAGGCAAATACATCATCAATCTCATTGTCCAGCAGTGTAAAGCCAATGTTATGATGACTTGCCATCTGACAATGTTTTTCTCTCAACCTACCATGGCTAAATGACAGATCCCCAGATTTGTGGCGATGTTAACACAGCACAGAGGATCCTGGATGACGTCATTGACCATATTTGCTTATTGGCCTTTAAAATGGACAGAATTAAAATAGCTAGCTCAGCCACCCATAGACTTCAGTGGGATTTGGCGATCCTCCTAAAAACCAAATTCAGGCCCATTCACCCATACCTAGTCAATAGTGATAGAACTTGGGGTTATAAACGGTCACGTGGATATAAGTCTGGGACCTGGCAAATATGTTCTATGAATGAACACAGGATGCTAACAAATAGGTTGATATGGCTACTGAATGTGTTTTAGATTTTTCAAAGACGTTTATACAGCTATGGCCTGGTTATTGCCCTGTATATCTGGTTTGCAGTAAAATATTATTGCAGCCCTCTGGTCATGATATTAGTGTCACATCCCACAGTAAAGGTAAATTTTATTTATTTATAAGCTTTTCAAGCAATGTTTTATATTTTTAATAAACCCAGGAGGGGGCTCCACACACCAGGCTATTTGACCTATAACAGACATATCACATTTGGTTGGACTGACGCCATTATGTGTATAATCACCAGTGTTCTTACTTTGAACCTCTGGATATTTCATCATTAGCAGAAGTCCCCATCTCAAAGTTGTTGAGGTTGTTTCCATTCCAGCAGTGAACAGGTTCATAATAAGGATTGTTAAGTTTTCATTGTGAAAATACGCAGCAGATTCAGGTTTCTCCTAGGAAAATATAAAAGAGAGCTGTTCATCTGTGATAGCAAAGGCAAAGAGGCAACTTTTCCCTGGATAAGTACTGTGCTACATATTTTCTTCCCATTGACAGTGAGTTATAGTTATCTCGTATACCTTGTGCGTATAATGCCACAATATGCAAAGCCAGATTCCAATCAGTAATATAACAAAATGCTCTGCGTGATATTAGCCGGGCTTTGGAAGCCAATGAATGTGCACAATGGAGTACAGTATTGGGGGTACTGTGTTGGCCAGAAGAACAGTGTTGGATAATGAGTTTTTGCAAAATCTCCATTAACCACTGTAAATAATAATGTAATTATGAATATATTTTAGTTAGAGCTATATCAGTGTGGGTATGTAATATGTCTTCTTATAAATCCCTGTTCTACAGAAAGTTGGGGATGGTTTAAGTTTCCAGAGGGAATAGTCTATTAATTTCAATTTCTTTACTGTGTACCAGAAGTCTTGACACTCCTCTGTTGAGAATCCTCTGTCAGATGGTTCGGTGCTAGAGTTAGTTTATCTAACAATTAGACCCAAACCTGTTGGCTTCACACATATCCACTTCAATCCACCCATTTAGATATGCAAGGAGGTGGCCAGCTTTTCATGAATACTTAAAGTCCTGAACTGGCATACTTAATTTCCAAAAAGGGTGTGCAAAGATGTGCATGTTGGTGTATGCTAAATACAGAGAATTTTAAGTTAGCCAATTAAGAAAGGGAATAGATTTGCCAACCAATCAGAGCTGCTTCATGAAAACTAATGAAGGAGAGGCCTATAACAATACACACTGGATGGAGAAGGGGGGAAGTCTTTGGAACACCAGTTACTAGAATGGGACCCCTACGTACAGTTCCACAGTACATATGGAATATATCCCTTGCACTTATATCTAAATGTTTATCTTACGTCTTCACTGTTTCACTGTTTGTATTTTGTAATATGTTAGAGCTTTCTTAATAATGTTTCGTTCATGTAACTAGATTGTTTTTGTTAGTTTTAGACCTTCATACTATATACCAATACATTTCTGCTGTGTTTAAGCTTTCACTTCTGGGTAGAAACTCTTAGTTTACCAAGTCATATTAGAGAAATATTACATTTCATAATCTATAGATTTGGTCACCAAACAGAAGAAAGATATTTGGGGGTGTTCCTTTTAGATGATTGCAAAATGACCAAACATTTTGGTTTAGTTATCACAAAAGGAATCACCAGCAGGAGGAGGAAAGTCCTGATTCCTCTATATAGATCTCTGGTCATTACCAGATAGGTCACCAGAAGGAGGCCCTGATTCCTCTATATAGATCTTTAGTTATCACCCACGGGATCACCAGCAGGATGAAGGAGTTCCCGACTCCTCTATGTAGGTCTTCAGTTATCACCAATAGGATCTCCAGCAGGAGGAAGGAGGTTCTGATTCCCTTATATAGATCTTTAGTTATCACTACAGGGATCTCCAGCAGAAGGAAAGACATACTGATTTCCCCATATAGAGCTCTAGTTATGACTTGAGGGATCGCCAGCAGGAGGTAGGTGGTCCTGATTCCCCTATATATGTTAGATCTTTAGCTATACTTAGAGAAATCACCAGCAGGAGGGAGGTCCTGATTCCCTATATGGATCTTTAGTTATCACAAAAGAAGCACAGGCAGCAAGAAAGAGGTCTTGATTATTCTATATAGAACTTTTAGTTATCACTAGAGGCAGGACCAGTGCTTCCACTAGGCAAACTAGGTGCCCGCCCAGGGGTGCCTGCGCGCAGCACAGGCTGGCACTCTCTCTGTGTGGGACGCTGCCACATCATGAATAATCTTTCAACTGAGAGGAGGGGCGGCAGAGGGGAGAAAGAAAGGACAGAGAAAGATGCCGGATCTGGGGCCAGCTGAGCTGCAACTCCTTCCAGTGTTCCTCTTTGACTCAGTCCCTTACTGCAAGCCTGCTGGCGACTGCTGATCACTGTAAAGTTCCAGCCCATCTCTTCCCATTCATCAGCACAGGTGGAGCTGTGCCAGCAGAGGAAGGTAATGTCTGACTCAGATGTCTTGTGTCTGTGTGAGTATGACCCAGCCGGCCGGACATCAATAACATGTGCAATGTGTCGGTGAGTGATGACATCTTCACAATCCCACACCCTGCTCTTCTGTTGCCTGCTCAGCCTGCTAATCTGTGTCAGTGTTGATGGTGGTGGTACTGTGTTGTGTGGGATCATTCAGTTCAGCTCCCTGCTGTTACAGCGTTTTATCTCCCCCCATTGCCTGGGAATTCCAGCCTGGGATCTGTCAGAGTGTGGATCCATCATGCTCCACATACTGCAACTGTCACCCTGCCACTGCCAGCCACAGATACAGTCCATCCGTGACATTAATGTTGTCTTTAATATTGTTGCTGGTGGCATCTTATGGCACTTATTTTTGCAAATTAAAAGAAATGTAGCAGTTTAATGTTTTATTGATTTAATATTTTTCAAAGTTTTTAATTTTAATGTATTTTTTTTTGGGGGGGGGGCGCAAGTAGCTGGTGTTGCCTAGGGTGCAAGTAGGGGGTCACAAGCAGGAGGATGGAGGTTCTGATTCTCCTATTAGATGGGGTACATCATTTTCTGTGTTGGTGACAATGGTCATAAGGACAAACAAAGAAGATGAATCTACCTATAGGACACACACAGAAATAATAGCAGAGGTTCTAACCCCCCACCATATTATCCAATATTATCCAAACTAAAATAAATATTTTGGTCAGAGACACAAGCTAATTGTATCTATTGTATCTAATTGATATCTCCCATGATCTTTAAAGTAGAATTCCAACTTTCATTTCACTTTAAGGTCTCATTCATATGGGGGCGTACTATAGCCAACGCACGTGCAAGGGCCAAGTTTATCTGAAAGGGGATGCACAGGTGTTCTGTGCATCCCCATGCAAGCAGTCCCATTCATATCAGTCAGGAAGCTGCTCCCAATTTTACATCCATGTGGGTGTGAATGCATGGCCCCAATCAAAGACAGTGTGCGTTGGGGGCCATGCACAGATCCCAAATTGGTAGTAGCGCCTGTGTCCATATAGCCGCTGAATCTCAGTTGAAGTGAATAGGACTGCCTACACAGGGATGTATGTCCCATGTTAACTAGGCCTAAACAGTTTGCTTAAGCCAAGCTGGCCCAAACAATCTATTTTCATTACTTTACTATGGAGCTGCTGTGTTTGCGGTATCATGCTGATGTAGCATTAGCTACATACAGTAAGCAGTGCTGAGTTTCGGCAGCAGTACAGGTGACTTTCTGTCTGCTGCTAGAACAAAAAATAAAATCAACCTGAATGCTTTTCCTCCATTCCAGGGAAGCCTTGCAATTTATCGATTAATACAAGGTATCCTCTGAGTGGAAATTGTAAAGTCACCCACCTATCTCTCCACCGCGACAAATCAGAAGAAGTCTTGTATTCATTGATAAATTACAAGGCTTCTCCTGAATGGTGGAGAAACATTCAGGCTGATTCTATTCAGTTCTAGCAGCAAATGGAAGGTCATCCATACTGCTACCAGAATACTGCACTGCATGTTACTAATGATATTAGTATATAGTACAGTAAACACAGAGGCCGCATAATAATATAACGTTTTTGGGCCACTTTTTAAAGTCAAATGAAGGCTGGAATTCTACTATAAGTCTTGGTTCACACATGTTCTGTGAAATTTTCAGGTCTGTTTTCAGTGCAAATTTCCAAAGTAGTTGTTTGGTGGTTCAGGTGTAGTTCAGATGGGGTTCTGATGTGAACTGGCAAGGCTCAAATCATTTTCATAACTGATTACATGTGCGATTTTAGAAGCATTCCCATTTAAGTCAATGAGCCTGTAATTTGCATCGGACTCACACAGCACTGCTCAGAAAATGTACAGGACTCTTTAAATTCACACTGCTGGTGCACCTCATATATGTGAATGGCCACAACAGAAAAAATTTGTTATTTTACATGTCGTGTGAATCAATGCGTTCTAAAACGCATCTGAATTTGTACATGTGTGAACTGGGGTTAAAGGTATTAATGTTTAATATATTATCATTTTTTATAACAAATTCACCCTTTTATGGTACCACTTAGCAAATCTGTGGCTGCAGATCTACACTTACCGGTCACTTTATTAGGTACACCTTGCTAGTGCCAAGAAAATATCCCCCACACCATTACACCACCACTAGCCTGAACTGTTGATACAAGGCAGGATGGATCCATGCTTTCATGTTGTTTATGTCAAATTTTGACCCTACCATCTGAATGTCGCAGCAACCAGTCTGCCCATTCTCCTCTGAACTCTGACATCAACAAGGCATTTTCCTCCACACAACTGACGTTCACTGGATATTTTCTCTTTTTTGGACCATTCTCTTTAAACCCTAGAGATGGTTGCACTCAAAAATCCCAGTAGATCAGCAGTTTTAAAATACTTTGACCAGCCTGACACCAACAGCCATGCCACGTTAAATCCTCTTTCTTCCCCATTCTGATTCTCAGTTTAAACTTCATCAAATCCTCTTTACCATGTCTAGATGCCAAAGTGCATTGAGTTGCTGCCATGTGATTGGCTGATTAGCAATTTGCATTACCGAGCAATGGAACAGGTGTACCTAATAAAGTGGCCGGTGAGTGTATATACACGGGTATGTTGTGCTGTATAACCCCTTTCACATGGGCGTCATCAATTCAGTCATGATTTTGCTAAGAAAAAAAATGGATTCAGTTTATCTATTTTCTGTTTAGCTCTGTTCCATTTACATACATTTTTTATCCATTTACATCCGTTTTTGTCATCTGCTTCCGTTTTTAAAAACGGAAAAAAAAAAAAACGGACCTTAACGGAATCATGATTACATCCGTTTGCCCATAGGATTGCATTGCTGCCCATTTTTCATCCATCAACAGACAGATGAAATGAGGAAAAATGGAACTCTTTTGTAAAAGGGGCCTATATCATTTAGAACAACTACTTAACATAAAGATTGTAGATTGTAAGCTCCAAGGAGCAGTGTCCTCCCAACCCTCTTTTATTGCTGTATTGTCTCCCTTTATATTGTAAAGCGCTGAGCAAACAGTTGGCGCTATATAAATCCTGTATAATAATAATAATAATTGAACCTCTTGCTGCTTGACAAGGAAGGTATCAACGAGATTTCTTTGGTCATTAGTATCCAGCTGGTCCTTGTACTTGGTGAAGGTTCCTGTAATGAACTGACACAACTCACTGACATTTCCATGTATGGTTTTATGACTGCCCGGTAGCCAGCGTATCACAGAATGAAAGTTATTGTACAGCTGGACAACAAAAAAAATAAAAAGGAGAAGAGGGAGAAAGAAAAGGAGAATTAAAAGAAAAACAAATCTACTTAAATGAAAAAAAATCTACTTTTAAAGAAAAAAAAAAATCAGACATCTTCACCAGTGTGAGCTACATACAGTGGGGATCAAAAGTTTGGACACCCCAGCTAAAAATTTGTATTAATGTGCATAAAGAAGCCAAGGAAAGATGGAAAAATCTCCAAAAGGCATCAAATTACAGATTAGACATTCTTATAATATGTCAACAAAAGTTAGATTTTATTTCCATCATTTACACTTTCAAAATAACAGAAAACAAAAAAATGGCGTCTGCAAAAGTTTGGGCACCCTGCAGAATTTATAGCATGCACTGCCCCCTTTGCCAAGCTGAGACCTGCCAGTGTCATGGATTGTTCTCAGTCATCGTCTGGGAAGACCAGGTGATGTCAAGCTCAAAGGTTTTAAATGCCCAGACTCATCTGACCTTGCCCCAACAATCAGCACCATGGGTTCTTCTAAGCAGTTGTCTAGAAAACTGAAACTGAAAATAGTTGACGCTCACAAAGCTGGAGAAGGCTATAAGAAGATAGCAAAGCGTTTTCAGATGTCAATATCCTCTGTTCGGAATGTAATTAAGAAATGGCAGTCATCAGGAACAGTGGAAGTTAAAGCAAGATCTGGAAGACCAAGAAAAATATCAGACACAGAACAGCTCGCAGGATTGTGAGAAAAAAACAATTCAAAACCCACGTTTGACTGCACGATCCCTCCAGAAAGATCTGGCAGACACTGGAGTTGTGGTACACTATTCCACTATAAAGAGAGATACTTGTACAAATATGGTCTTCATGGAAGAGTCATCAGAAGAAAACCTCTTCTACGTCCTCACCACAAAAATCATCGTTTGAACTTTGCAAATGAACATATAGACAAGCCTGATGCATTTTGGAAACAAGTTCTGTGGACAGATGAGGTTAAAATTGAACTTTTTGGCCGGAATGAGCAAAGGTACGTTTGAAGAAGAAGGGGCACAGAATTTAATGAAAAGAACCTCTGTCCGACTGTTAAGCATGGGGTTGGATCAATCATGCTTTGGGGTTGTGTTGCAGCCAGTGGCACAGAGAACATCTCACGAGTAGAAGGAAAAATGGATTCAATCAAATTTCAGCAAATTTTGGATGGTAACTTGATGCCATCTGTGAAAAAGGTGAAGTTAAAGAGAGGATGGCTTCTACAAATGGATAATGATCCTAAACACACCTCGAAATCCACGGGGTATTACATCAAGAGGCGTAAACTGAAAGTTTTGCCATGGCCTTCACAATCTCCTGACCTCAACATAATTGAAAATCTATGGATAGACCTTAAAACAGCAGTGCGTGACAGACAGCCCAGAAATCTCAAAGAACTGGAAGACTTTTGTAAGGAAGAATGGGCAAAGATACCTCAAACAAGAATTGAAAGACTCTTGGCTGGCTACAAAAAGCGTTTACAAGCTGTGATACTTGCCAAAGGGGGCAGTACAAGATATTAACTCTGCAGGGTGCCCAAACTTTTGCAGATGCCATTTTTTTGTTTCCTGTTATTTTGAAAGTGTAAATGATGGAAATAAAATCTAACTTTTGTTGACATATTATAAGAATGTCTAATCTGTAATTTGATGTCTTTTGGAGATTTTTCCATCTTTCCTTGGCTTCTTTATGCACATTAATACAAATTTTTAGCTGGGGTGCCCAAACTTTCGATCCCCACTGTAGGTGTTCCATGCACTCTGGTGCAGCAGCCTCCAAGCACATCCCAGATGGCACATCCATGTGAGATGCACTGGACTTGCATGGATGTAGAGTTCGGGATGTGCTTGGAAATGCTTGGAAATCTGTGCATGTCCATACAGCCAGTTGCCTGTCATTGATCTGAGGCTGCCTGCACAGAACTACATGGAACACCTGCACGGGTGAAGATGGCCTTTCACATAGATCCATAGATTAGTACTCCTGTGTGAATGAACCCTTACTTTAAAGTGGTTGTAAAGGCTGAAGGTTTTTTACCTTCAAACATTCTATGCATGAAAGTAAAAAAACTTCTGTGTGCAACATCTCCCCCAGCCCCCCTAATACTCACCTACTGTAAGCCCCCTCTCAATACAGCGATGTTCACTGGAGTCCCAGTTATCTCGCAACTCCCTCTCCTCATTGGCTGGGACAGCAGTGGGAGCTAATGGCTCCCATTCCTGTCAATCACAGCCAGTGAGCCAATGAGAAGAGAGAGGGGGCAAGGCTGAGCCACAACTCCATGTGTGAATATACACACAGAGCAGCAGATGCCCCCATAGCAAGCTGCTTGCTGTGGGGGGCACCCGACAAGCAGCACCAGACGGGGACACGAGAAGAAGAGAATCTGGGATGCTCTGTGCAAAACCACTGCACACAGGTAAGTATAGACATGTTTGTTATTTATTTAAGCCTTTAGAATCACTTTAAAGCTGATTTTCAGAAAAATATCAAATACACAAAAGTATGCAGCTCTGTAATCATGAATATACAACAGGGGCGGACTGACAACTTATGGGGCCCCTGGGCAATAGGGGATCATGGGGCCCCTGTGTCTTTGCCCAAACTCAAAAAAGCCTATGAAAAAGGTACCAGGGGCATCTCATGGGGCCCCCTACTGACCCCGGGCCCTCGGGAAGTGCCCGAGTTTCCAAATGGTCAGTCCACCCCTGATACACAATTAGGAGTATTCTTTTTTTTATTCAAGCAGCGTAAGTACTTAAATTTTACTTGGAGTCTAGCAGACTCTTGTGATCCCACTACAACAGAACTCAGACTGTGGGAGGCTGAAGCAACACAAGAAGGTGTGCTGCAATGTAGACCGACAAAGACATATGTTCATCCTCTGCTGCTTCTTCTTTCACAGGTAATGAGAGAGACAAGACCTATAAGTTGTTTTGAACTGCAGCAGAGAAAATAAAATCAGGTTTTCTACCCTTCCAGAGAAGGCTGTGCTTTGTGACAGGGCTGTGTAACTTTTAATACTGGATGGACAGAAATACAAAACCTTTTGGCAGGTAAAATTGCTTATATGTATTTCATCTGTGTATATAGCCATTTGTTTGGCTTTAAAAACTTATATGTATATGTTATTTATGTTTAAAAAAAAAAAAAACATCTACAGATATTTTTACAGTTACTTTTGAGAATAATAAAAGGTTGGTCCACCCAAAAGACATTATTTCAGTTGAAAATTAAACCACTTGATTTTGTAATAATGCTACCCCTCCCTTAAAGTTTTGCTTTTATGGTATCAATACAGTATAAACCTTTGTATCCTAAATCAAAATGGACTTTTGAGGTGCCCCCAAAAAAGCCACAACAATACAATATGTAAAATTAGGGGGATGTACATTCCTGTACATTTTTATTCATCCAGATGATTAACCACTTGCCTACCGGGCACTTATACCCCCTTATTTACCAGGCCATGTTTCAGCTTTCAGCACTGTCGCAGTTTGATTGACAATTGCGCGGTCATGCAAGATTGTACCCATATGAAATTTTTATAATTTTGTTCTCACAAATAGAGCTTTCTTTTGGTGGTATTTAATTGCTGCTGGGCGCTTTACTTTTTGTGCTATAAGCAAAAAAGTGCAAAAAAAGGTGAAAAAAAAAAAAGTTTTTTTGTTTCTATTATACAATTTTTGAAACAGGTAATTTTTCTCCTTCACTGATGTGCGTTGATGAGGCAGCACTGATGGGCACTGATAGGCGGCACTGATGGGCACTGATAGGCAGCACTGAAGGGCACTGATAGGCGGCACTGATAGGCGGCATTAATGGAGGTGGCACTGATATGCAGCACTAATGAGGATAGGTGGCACTGTGGCACTGATTGGTGGCACTGATAGGCGACACTGATAATGGGTACTGATAGACAGCACTGATAGATGGCACTGACTGACATCACTGCTGGGCACTGACTGGCGGCACTGATGGGCACTGACTGGCACAACCGCTGGGCACTGACTGGTGGCACTGACTGGCAGCACTGCTGGGCTGCACTGATGGGCACTGGTGGGTGGCACTGGTGGGCACAGGTGGGTGGGAACAGGTGGGTGGCACTACTGGGCACAGGTAGGTGGCACTTCTGGGCACAGGTGGTGACACTTCTGGGTGGCACAGGTGGGCGCACTGCAGGGTGGCACAGGTGGGCGCACTGCTGGGCACAGGTGGGTGCATTGCTGGGCACAGGTGGGCACACTGCTGGGCACAGGTGGGCGGAACTTGTGTGTGGCACTGCTGGGCACCGTTCATCAGGGCACTGGTGATCAGTGACCCTGATGATCGGTGCCGATCCCCGCTCTGACAACTGCCGGTTTTCGGCAGTACTTTCCTCACGATCTGACAGCATGAGGAAAGTGCAGCCGAGAACCAGCATTTGCATTTTCCGGGTGATCAGCGTGTCATTGGACACGGCTGATCACGTGGTAAAAGGCCGCTGTGATTGGCCTTTTACCACATCACGTGATCAGCTGTGTCCATAGGACACAGTGATCACGGAGATCGCCGGGTGCGCGCGCCTCGGGGGGCACGCAGGAGAGCGCGTTCTGGGAGGACATCATATGACGTCCACCCAGAACTGGCTGGCCGCAGTGCAGCCGTCATTCGGCTATGCGGTCAGCTTCTCAAAAATTATTTTTAAATAGGTTCTTGGAATGGTCTTTGCGGGTTCCATGGCATTCCAGGCTCCTCCCCCCTGCTGAGTGCCCCCAGAGCAAGCTGTTTGCTGTGGGGGGCACTCATGCATGCTCTCTCCTGAGCCGCCTTTGTCCATAAGCCACAAAGGTCCCAGCTCAGCCCCACTCCCACTCCCTCATCACTGGCTGTGATTAACATTGGCTGTTTTTCAGCCAGTGAGGAGGGAGAGACCAGGGAGAGCCACTGCTCTCGTGCACATCTCTTGATTGGGATCGGGCTCAGGTATGGGGGGCTGGGGGGGTG